TACGCACTTTGTTGTTGTATTCCTCCACAAAGCTTCCTAGTGCTAGCCGAAAGCGTTTGTCCGGACGCACGCTCCAGTTCATCGCGTAAACGGTCCATGGCGCCTCGTATTTGTAGATTTCTTTTCTTTTGCCGTGAAGCGACATCCTCACGAGCTGCGGCTGTTGTCTGAGCAGCTAACACGCTAGCGTTAGCTAACTACGTCGAAACAAATCCCGAAAGTGACCTCTGACAATCTGGGTTTTCCCGCAAGGATACGTGTCAGTAAATCTGGTGGTAGCGACAGTTTAGTGGGGTAATCCTCGCCGCAGACTAAGATTTTTCACCTATTTACTTAACAAAGAGTAGCATTAGTCGTTACGACCCATAAGACGGTCAAGTGACACAGCTTGCACCGGGCTTCCTGTAAATACTTTCAAAATAAGACGTATATTTCTGTAATAACCAACAAAAAATGTTTCACGTGAATATTTTAAAGAAACGGAACATTATAACCCACGAATCATAATTGTTATTAGTTAATGCTGAAAAACGCTAAAATGTTCATCTACTTCTACACCTGTAGTTCATGGTTGACAGAAACCACAAATAGATTATTTTGACACTCTTACAAGTCGTCTATGTGAGCCCTCATTTTTTCTTTCCAGTTTCTATCAGATTTGTCCAGCAACACTTAATCTATTTCAGGCTTGTAACGTTATTCCTATTTCTATGACCGAATATAGACCAAGGTCAAGGGAGTAAACGTCTAAAAGTGAACAATTCATAGTAGAAAATGAATCTCTTCTATGCCGCCTCATTCCATGTGTGCTGTTTTAAGTGTGTGTCTCTAGATACACACACAAAACAAACAAGTTTTAACAGTTTGAATGCAAGTTAAGTGTTCTTTGATGTCACATCGTGTACAGTTTTCACAAATGTAAGTTCTAATCTTGTTTGAATCTTTTCCCTCTAAAGTTGCAGTATAGTAAGCAGAACAACTTGTGCAAACCTATTCTATGTGCCTTTTTTTGGACTTTTAATATTGTGTGAAGTTGTCTCAGCCCTCTTTTTCTATCTATCTATCTATCTATCTATCTATCTATCTATCTATCTATCT